CAGGTCCCTTCCGACCCGACCAACTATGAAACTATGAAAGGTCCCTTCCAACCTTCATTTTCTATGAAAAGCTTTAATGATAAAAATGTTCTGCCAGTCGTGTTAATGCATCCCTTCCCTTAATTTCAAGGAGCGTGACGGCTTAAAAAAAAAATTGCATCCCTGCCATGGTCTGTGAATCATCCATGGGGAGGTGTCGGGAGAACCTAGCAAGTGCCTTACCCCAATACCCCGGATACTGCCCCTCACTCCCACCCCACCCGAGTTTCCTCGTAGCACAGCTCAAGACCCCCGCACTGGCCCCACCGCTCTCTGTAGCACATGCCACGGTTTTACCCCGTGGCGTGCTTTCCTCCAGGACCCCTCCGGGGCCTGAGCTGGCACTCGGGAGTGCACATCACGCTGTGTATGCTCAAGGAGTTCACCTTCAATAAATAATCCGAACAAAGGGAGCCAGCGCTGGCACGGCTGCTTGGGCTGCTGCAGGGAGGAGGGTTCGTAGCAAAGTCAAGTTCACCTTTGCCGGTGGCTGCTGCCACTCGCTGGAAGAGTCCCAGCCCCAATGGGGACCACTTAATACTGAGAGTGGAAAATACTTTCACCTCCATTAGCATCGTCTCTGAGGCACAGGATGTTTTAGAGCCCGGCGTCCCCCCCGCTGAAAGGAAGGGCTGAGGATGGGGTCTGGGTCCACCGTGGGACATAGTGCCCCCTTGTACGAGGATGCTAATACGTCACCAGAGGCTGCGGCACCCACTGCTCCGTCTAGACCTGCTGTAGTCCACGGCTGGTTTCAATGGAGAGACAAGCGTGAAAGCCACAGCCTGTGCAATGCCGAGGGCCTGGCGAGGGGAACATACCGGCCCCTTTGAGTGCTCCACACCCCACGTCACAGCTGAGACCTGGACCTGCAAGACTTGGGTCCAACTCAGCAAAGCAAGGTCATGCCTTTCCAGGACAATGAATCACAGTCAGGAAGAGGCTGAGAATTGCCTGCAAAGTCCCAGGGAGGTGGGAGCCCCATGCTGTCCACAAGCTCAGAGCTGTGCTTGTTTTATGCCCTCCCTGGGGGTTACAGCCAGGTTGTGGGGGCTGAGAGTACCAAACTCGCCTTTCACTAGGGTGGCAACTGGCGTGGCATTTCCACCCCGCCACATCATCCACCCCCCAGCAAGGTGTCATTTTAGGTCATTTCCCAGGATCAGGAACCTCCTCCCTCCCCATAGCTCCTACCCTGAACCTCCAGGTGTTCTGGGAGCAGGTTAGCAATAGCTCAATGCAAGGAACAGCTTCTTCCTGGGATCCTCAGGCTTAAAATACAGCTTATATCTTCAGTGCACAGGTCACCTGGGTGATGCACACCCGAGTGAGGACACCTGGGTTAGCTTAGCACAGCTGTGAGTATCCTCAGACACCCTCACTGCAGTAACCACAAAGTGTTAGGGATTATAGTTCGTGTGCTGGGAGGCTCTGGGATTTGGGATTCCTTCCCAGTTATTTGCAGGAAAACTGTCTGTTCTCCAGTGAAGGAAAGTGAAAGGGCATGGAGCAATCTCAGTGCAGGGATGAGTTGGTGTGCAGTCCTCATTGCAAAGCTAGAGGTTTCCAGCCTATAGCAAAGGCTGTACCTACAGCCGGAGCAGGGCACGGGTGGTACCCGCAAACCAGGGGCTGGTGAGCAGGGAGTAGGGTGCCCTGGTAAGGCACAGGTTACTGGTGAAGACTGAGATCAACCCATGGCTACACCTCTTTGCTCTTACACCGAGGAGTTTCTTACAACAAAATCACCACAATACTAACTACCACCTGAGCGAAAGGAGAATCTCCCTGAGTAGCTTTGTGTATAGGGCTTAGGACACACAGCTGGAAACGTGAACCGCTCCAGTAGAGAGTGCACATCCACCCGAGCCTATTCATAACAGCATGATTAAGACAATAAAATAAACTTCCAGGGCAAATTGCCCAGCAGGGAATAATGATCCAGTATTTTGTCATCAATACATAATAGCTTTGCACTCGCAACCTCCTACCAGCGAGACGTTTCAGGTTACAGGGGACAACTCCATCCCCTTTGGTCTGCTTGGGTCATTTGGCTTAAAGTTCTCAAAAATTCGTAGTCTTATACAGTGTCAAGCTTTGGGCATAACCACCAAATACAACTCCGACCCCTGGTCTGAACTGAGGAATCAACTCTGAAATGAGCCTCTTGAATGCAAACCTGAAATTTTGATGGGCTGACCTGCTCCCTGTTGTTGTCACATGTCACACAACACCGGGTCAAGAGACCTCACTCGGTTGGGGACCGTCACCATCCAAGACAAAGCAATCAGGACCCATGGTAGAGGTGATATCTTCTATTAGACCAACTGGATTTTTGCACAAAAAAAATTATTTAATTGCAAGCTTTGGGGTACAAACACCCTTCGCCAGGCATCAGAGAAAAGACTGTAAAAGTTCTCCTGGGTAGAAATGAAAGTTCATATTTCCTAGGAGAGTTGAAGGTGTGGTAAAAGCTCCTCTTTAGAAAAGTTCATTTTATATGCCGATGAGGCTCAAAGAAAAGTTGGAATAGTCTGTTTGGTGGTAAGCAGGATGTATTCGTATTTCCTTCTGGTTATGGTGCTTCATGATTGCTTTTTCCTCTTCACCAGGACAAGCATCTCACCTGCTTCCTTAACTCCCACCAAGCAGGCAGCCTGCTGTTAAAGCCTGCCTGAGAAGAGCCGCAAGGACAGGTGATGGCAAAGCCACGGCGCTCAGGAAAGGGATCTTAAAGTACCAACCTGGGACTCTGTCTCAACTCCTGGTGCTGCCACATATGCCCTATGTGACCTTTGGCAAGTCACCCACCATCTCCCCATCTGTAGGGTGGGCTAATAGTGTTCCCCTGCCTCCCAGGGGTGTCATTTTGAGGACAGACAAGTGCAAAACATCTAGTGGTGGCGGCCCCTGTACCTTGATAGAAAGGGGGGAGGCTATAACAGGCCCCTTTTCCTCCCATAAAGGTATGCCACCGCTGTACGTGTGAGTGCTCCCAAAGGAAATTGCTAAGGACAACAGCTGATTCCTAACCCAAGTGTTTGTAACACATATGTAGGGAGCCTTTCCCTCCTGAGCACTAAAAAGGAGGCTCTGCCATGCTAGTGAAGGCAGAGAGAGGATGCTTTGCAGAGAGCAAATGACCCCTGAGCCCTTCATACAGTGGACAACTAAAGAGGTGAAAAGTAAGATGAAAATGTTCCTGCAAAACAGCCAGGAGAAGGACATTTTCTCCCCTCTCCCCTGCCCAGCTCCTATATATTTCCTGGCTTTCTTCTTATAGTTAATTCAAGTCAACCAATGGATACTCCTTGCCTTTGGTAAGTCAGGCTCTTCCTCTTTAACACAAATTCTGCCCACTGTCCCTCATGTCTTTCACCAGTAGCAAAGGGCAGAAAGATGAGAATAAAATTACATGGTGCTTTTCAAAACAGGAAAAATGACCGGCCCTGAAAGGAGGGTCAGAGGAAAAACTGAAGCCCCAAGGCCCTATAACAAACAGGCGGCATCTTTCCCATTGGCATCACAAGCAAACAGGGGTGTACAAATGATATCATCACAGACCCAACGAAGAATGTCTTGTATTCAAATCTTGATCCCAATTACATAGTTGGTCGAATAAAAGATATCCCCCTAAGAAAGCCTTGCCTCTTGCATCAGAGGCGAAGACGCTCTGGGTTTGAAGCATGCATTTTCCCTGCTACCACTTCTTCTCCAGCTTCCACCGCTCACTCTCTCTTTGGATGACTACAGCAATGACACCTTCATAGTGGAAGGCATATTTGGGGGCTTACCTGTTCCAGGTGAGCTGTGTCAAGAACCTGGCTCTTAATCTCAGGTGGTCCGGTCAGCAGAGAAGTCAGACCGGGCGGCGCGTCCAAAATTCAAGATGACCGACCAGGACGCTCAGATGACAACGACTGGGAGAAAAAGAGAAACCTGCTGTCTTATGGAAAGCTCACATCCAGCTCAGGGTGGGTGTCCTTTTGTCTCTCAAAGGAGTCCATCCAGAAAAAAAGTGAGCAAGGAAGTGGGAACAGTTGAAGCCAGTCAATTTGCAAAAGTTTAGGGCATACGTTCAGAGTAGCAGCTGCAAAGTGAAAAAGTGTCACACAGGCTAAAGGCAGAACTTGGTTGTAGCTGGTTCCCTGCTGTTTGATTTTGCAGGTGTGGTAGCTTTGGGACTGTCTCCACCCAGGTCTTATCAGGGGTGAGACTGGGCTCAATGGGGCTGTAACCCACTGGTAACAGATAGCATGCGTTATGCATCCACCAACATCTCCAACAATGCTAGCACCAGGGAGCAACCCCCACCCACCACCTCCTTATCCCCTGATCAGCCCTGCCGTGACCCAGGAACGGACTCTGCTCCGAGTCGAATATCAGCAAGGGACAGGCAATACTGCCTTTATGGACAGTCTCTCATATGTACATGTTACCATAATAATGCCATATGTCCAACACACAAGCACACAGGTCTGACTACACCTTGCCCGGGGCAGGAACCAGCACCTGGCTACACCACTGACTCTCATATGCAACGAAACTCGCCCCTGTTGCATGGCCCACCATCCTCATCATGGCTGGGTGGCTGTGAAGCTCTCAGCCCCACTTTGCCTTAGCTCCTTGCCCAGCTCAGCACCACTCAGGTGACCCCAAACACCCCTTCCAACAAAACTCATGGCACCAATAACCAACCCGTGTCTCTGTTTTGGAGTGACGCTCCTCCTCCATCCCCAATCAATGCAACAGCTAGTCCCTTGTGGTGGTTCTTCCCACCCCCAAAATTGGGAAGGAGCCTGTTGGTGGGATTTGCAGGGGCACTGCCCTCCCACCGCTAGCCCAATACACCTTTCAGAGACAAGTCTTTACCGCCTCACCCCCGTTACAGAGGCTGGGTCCTTATCTCAAGCAATTATGACTTGCACGTCTTAGCTCTGGAGGTTTCCAACTCCATCCCTGGCATCTCCGTAGGTTCAGCTCAACTCCAGAGGTTAAACATCCTCATTTCCTC